AGTTCATCAAATTAAGGAGGTCAGATAAGCACCTCATCATTCTTATACTTACTTGAAATAGGTCTCCAAACCACTGCCATTTATCACTAAATTTTTCAGGAATTTGTATCAAGTAAAGCAGTGACTAATCTTGGTCCATTGTTTTATAAAGGTTTATCAAGGTTATTTGCTGATTGCAGAACAGCTGGACCTCATAACTGGTAAATACTTCAGAGTGCTGATTTACTGGTTCATTGGTGACACAACACATAGCACAATGGCCCCATCTCTTCCAAACTTTTAGAGCACAACTATTATTAAGATGTTATTGCATTGTTTTGCAAGTTAAAAAGGAGATCAAGCAATTAGTTCAGCTGGCTATGTTTAAATCTACTAAATCAAGCACAACTATTGTAGCTGGTTACCCTCACAACAAAGAAATGTTTCTGGGCAAGCAAAGTCTCCTCTGACAAATGTATTACTTTCAGCCTCTACCCAAGTAAATCCTTTAAAAATTTGTTTCATTTACTCTCTGACAAGCTGTAAAACCCTGTTTCATCTGAACTACTAAATCCCCTTCTAGTGACAGAATTCACTGTTCCTCCTAGGTCCTTCTTTCTCTCATTCCACCTAACTATAAGTGTCAATATTATAGGAGGGAGGAGGGAAGAGGGGAAAAGAGAGAGGGAGAGAATAAACACATACACAACTTTTCAAGTGATTTTCCACTAGAAAACTTTTGTAAGATTCCATCTTACAAGAGAAATGTGTATGCAAGAATAAAACAAAATTAACATTAGAGGATAGTCTAGATCTATATTCTCAAGTTCAAAACAGACACATGCAATAAACAGGCCTTCTTAAGGAAAGATGTTGTATCATTTTCCAATTGCACAGCACTGCAATCAACCACTTGCAATGTAAGTTTTCTTTCATCAGATGCTTATCTGTCCCAAGTGATAAGAATATACTGCTTATTACTTCATCCAGTGCAGTATCCAGTGTATCAGCTGGGGAAGGATAAAAATTTACTTTCCCACGTATGAGTCTTAAAATATATTTTCCTGATTTCAGGTTTATGATCATATTTTTGCCAGCACACTGCCAAGTGTTTGCTAGGAATGAGTGAAGGATATTGTTTGTAAATACTATGGTAATTATTTGTCGATGCAGATAGGTTCTATTAAATATTCCCATAGGACTGCCAGTGAAACTGCTAGTAAAATACATGTAACAGCAGCCATAATCATTACTAGCGTCTCAGAGTGAAGCTATGAGTATGTGCAGCACAGGAGACATTGCCCCCTCGCAAACCTCTCTTCCCCCTGCCCCTTTGTTTTCACCAAGTCTTTACAGGAGAATTCCCCTGCTTTTGCATCAGCTGATAAAAACAACCGATAATCATCTGCATTTGCATGTATAGCTATGCAGGCACATAACAGGGCATTTTAGGCTTGTGTCTTTGGCAAGGCTTCCTAAAATTTAGTAGCAGCTGAGACTTTGATTCATAAACCATAAGATCAGAAAGAACCACATAGATCTTCTCAGCTTTTATTCCAACATCTCATCTAATCCGCAAATAAAATACCCCAAAGAATGTGTCTTGCCCGCTTCCCTTAGCAAAATGGTCAATGGCCACTTTTCAAAGCTGTTTAAAATATTTTTGCTAACTAACCCAATATTTTCTGTCCTTAGTTTTGGGACTGCCAGTAGCTCACTAGCTCAGAAAATTTATAATTTGAGGAGAAACACACAGTAAACATAAAATAAGAATAATAAGTATATACAGATGTTGGTTCCCGCCCTCTGCCTCAGACTAAGCACTCACAGCTGAACCGAGCAATTCCATAAAACAGATTTTGCACAGAATAAAAAGATACTTCCTATTCATAACCGATGTTCATATTTTCACCATGTATTTTACTATTAAGAAGAATTTCCTAATATAATAGAACAATATACAATTTTTTCCCAAGGGAAAATGGTACATGCACTATTGTTTTCAGTCATATAAAGAATACCAGAGCACAGAAATGAAATACATCATTGGAGGAAAATATCCTTCCCTAGCAGAGGATTGACAGGACAGTGCAGTAGGTTAAATCCATTGTCAGTCTCCAGGATTCTCCAATTATCTATGTATGGCTTGGCCTTGCCCGCGGTGTTTATGTAACCCCTTCAACTAACATACTGAACTACTGTAGTACAGCCAATATTCAGTACAAGCATAAACCACTAGGGAAAAAAATATACAGGAAAAAACACTGACAAGTTTGTAGACCACTACTACATATGATGGAAAGTGATGCAGCTTTTGCAACACAAATAGTACCCCAATCAGTTCACCACACAGAGAAAGTTTCCAGTGATAACGTACACAAGTTAAGGTATGTTCATTTTAAAATCTGATTCCCATTAAGCAGCTCATTGTTCACAAATGTAATGGTGTTTACAAAGGAAACAAACTCCAGTTTCAACAAATCTGAAGTGCAACAGATGTTTCCTTCTATCTAGGCCAAACAAGTTTGTGAACCATTTCTACTCAATCAAAACACTTCAAAATTAATTCTATAGGAAAAAAAAAGAGGTTGTATTCAACAAGATAAATTTGGAAATTAAATTAAAAAAAACTGTTTCCAAAGTGTAGCTGCCACTATAATAAATGCACTCAAAGATATAGTCGTCTTTAACAGGGAATGCCTTATAACCTGGGTTTGGAGGGATACACCATGAAAATTATAATTCTGGTTTGTGTTGGGTACACTGTCGATATGCTGCTCTGGGTCTAGAACACTTTCCCCAAATCAGTTCAGCTCCTTTCTCCTTCCCCCACATACCCAAAAACTCCAGGCTGCTCTTTGCTTCCTCAAACTCCCCAAGGTCTCTCTTTCTCTGTACATGGCAGCTAAATAGCAAAAGTGGTGTGGTAGGACATAAAAGTTATCTCTCTATCTCTCTGTCTCTTTTTTTTTTAAGTTACTGCTAATAGTACATGCTAGTCATCCTGCACGCATAAGCTTCACAGAAGGATTAAAAACTTCAGGCATTTGCCAAAGGAACGCCTACTGAGACTGTAACACATCTAACTGTTTCACAGATCATGTAAAAATGTCAGGACTTTCTGCTGTGCTTCATGTTACTATGCCATTACACAGTGAAAGGTGGATCCGGGCACATTCCCTTGCACAACTGTGGTGAAAGTAGAATCTTCCAGGAGTTAATGCATTCTTTGTGCCCAACAATATCTTACCGAGGAGAGTGTGAACAAGTGGATGGACCAAGTGTCAGTGAGAATTTCATCCAGTGTTTTATAGGTTTTTATAAATTGCAGCTGCAGAGGCCCAATAAATTAGATTAAAAACAAGATACAAGTGCCAAAGCCAAGGAGAAAATACTCTTATCATTAATATAAGTGTAGTCAGCATATGCAACCCTCCATGCCTGTCTTTGCCTCTACAAGTCCCTTCTTCACTAGATTTCACTCAATTTATCTCTTGTTCTAGCTATTTTGTGAGTGCTATACAAAGTTCCCACCCCAACAATGTTTTGTGCATGGCATGCCCAACAGCAAGGTTCCTTATGCCAGCTGAGGCCCCTGCACGTCCTCAGATGCATGTAACAGCAAAGATGGAGCTGTAATCTGACCGTAATAAAATATACCATTATTATAAGCAACATGAATATTAGCAGTGTGAAGGACCCTACTGAGACATATTTCAAATCTGCCTATCAAACAATTACAGTAGAAAGTGGAGGTGTTTTTTCCTTCATTCAGTAATCCTATTTGTCCTTTAAATAAATCTTAACTGCAATCTCAAACTGTCAGCATTTTCGTAAAGAAGGACCAGCTCAGACCTAATTGGATTTGCCAGACAATCACAGCCAAACAGTTCTGTGAACTCCAACAACTGAAGGGCTAAACAAAAAGCTTCCAAGTCAGAATATATGACAACTTAAAAGTTCATTTCAAGATGAAAAATTTCCTCTTAAAGAAATTTGTAAAAAGACATAATTTGTTCCACCGTTCAAATCCTGTCCCTTAGCAACATAACGATGTGGTCTGGCATAGCTAAGGTTGTGTAAACTACCCTGCAAAGATGATTATTTGCAGTTACATATTGAACCATTTTTTCTTCAGCCTGCTCTGAATTCACCAAGATTGCTACAGACTTCCCTATGTGAACTTGCTTCCTTTATTTTCCTTTGTTTTAAAGTTTTAACCACAAATAAGAAAACAGGAAAAAAACAGAGAATTCTGGCAGGAAGACCTCACAGTAGTATCTGAAAAGAAAGTAAGTATATCTTATGTCACATACAAACAAAACAAAACTCGAGGAATGTGTTTTAGCTGAAGAGTTGAAATAACTTCTACTCTTCCGGATTTCTTGATTTTTTTTTTCTTCACACATATGTATACAAAAACATGCAACTTCCTCTGTTCTTGCTGTGCGTATCATCAGTGTCTTGTTCGGAACACGCTTCTGTGGGCTGGAAGCTTCAGAATAGTGCATTTTAAAGACAGTCTAGGGTACAATCGTCTAAAACCCACACAAACCTCATTTTCTGAACGGTGAGACAAAATACATTATAATGCTGATAGATGATAGGCTAAGTAAGTATAATAGGCCCAATCTTACAAAGCTTTCAATGCCCTCAAATTGTGGTTTCATTAATGAAAACTGAGATTATTCAGTAGGTGTCAGGAAACAGAAGACAGAAAACTCATTATACAGATGGTACATTGAGAATTGAAATGGCATTAGTTTCACTGACTTTCAAATAACAATCACTCCATTTTTTAAGAATATTTCTTTTTAGGAGAATATCAACTTGTTCACTTAGCTACATCCTTTTCTGTAGTTGTACGATTTCTAAGAAGCATGCCTGTCACTTGTGAATATAAGCAAGCTTAGCATTGAATTCTGAAGCATATTTTGATCTGGGACAAAACTGATTTGAAATAACATCAAAAAATTCTATCACCGGCATCAGCAACGTCCAAGAGTTGCACACCGTCCTACCTGTTGGCTTATCCACACCAAGGAATCCAGCCTGTCCTAGGATTTTAAATACTTTATGCGCTGGGAACTGTCCTTCTTCTTCCCATTTGTCCACAAAGGGATTAATCTCCTTGTCGATGATCTAGATTTAAAAAATACATTTTAAAAGTTATTAACGAAGACATTCCTACAGAAACACCTTTGACTACTTCTGCCTAAATACTTTAATTTAAAGAGAAAAAACGTACAGGGAAAGTGACATGAGATTTTGAAAGCACATGCATTTGTTTACTTCCTGTCAGATGCTCTTATTCTCCACCCATCCAATTAATGTAACAGACGCAATGATGCAAATATAAATTATTCTTTTAGCAGCTACAGCTATTATAGTAGGAAACCATCAGGGCTCTCCAAGGCTTATGAAGATAGCACTCCCCCCTCTCCATTTGCTATATTTCTGGATACAGTGTGTAGACAGTGACAGGAAGGAAAAGCTGGCATGTCCTCAGAAAGACCTTGCCAAAGAGGGATGACATTCTGTTCACAGTGGTCACACAAGACAGGTAAGTCTGAAGGACTTCAGTTCCCATCACTTACCTGAAACGCTATCAAGGACATCATGGCTGTTCAGAGCAAGTCCTATCTGAATTTAGATTTCCCTAGGATTTAACAACACGCATACTAGAAAAAAATGGTCTTCTGTGGTGCTGTTTCTTAAACTGGAAGAAGATTCTTCTCCTTCTCAAATTGCTAAGCTGATGAGAGCCTGTGGAGTGTTCTTTTGAGGTATCTATTTATCGCACATTCTTCAGAGAACGTTAGCCCATAGATGGCTGTTTTTTGTTTCCCAGCCGGCCGAAAAAACAAGGATGCTTCATCTTAGGTAGCATAAAATCACTTTTTCATCTCTCTCACCAAATTCTGAGGAACATTTATACTGAATGTTTAACTTACTCAATAATTTTCACCTCTCCCCCTCTCTTATACTGAATAGTGTAGGCCACATGGTCACTAGTAACAAAATATTACTGTAGTTCTTTCTCCCTAGGATAGCATCTAGGATAGTCTACATTTAAGTTTCTATACTGTTGTGTTCCAGATGCTCAGATTCTGGTATGTGGACCCTTAATGCTGAGTTACAGGCAAAGACATACCTTTTGAGTGCACTCTTTGTTCGTAGGAACTTTTGATAATGTTCACCTGATAGCATCCAGGAAAACGCCTAGAAGTCATTACAAAGTGTGTAAAGAAAGTTATCACGATGTTTTGATGGATCTTGGCAAAAGTACAAAACGAAAGTACTAACACAGTTTTGTGCCTATTAGGGCTGGTAGTGGGCCACGTGTTTCACAGCCTACCTATAAAGCTACCTCCGAAGTTAAACAGAGTCAGAAGAATGACTAAGGCATTAGACTCAGATAAATTATTTGCATCATTCCTGAAGATCATAACCTGCTTGCTTCTGTGCCTTTGAGTAAAACTCAAATTATTTAACAGAACCAACATCTAGTTATTACCAAGTAAAATTTGGAATTTTGGGTAAAACAAGGTTTATCTTGCATGACAATAAAAAGATGAAGACAGCATCACTGGGCAAACTGTGTGTATGCCTCTCATATCAAGAAAAAAAAAATCTCAGTCCAGACACCAATATCCACAATTGTTATTTAGTCATTTCACTGTTCACTTTAAACTGTATTTTTTTAAACAGATGAAATAGGTCTTGTCAAAAGTTTTCGGACTTTAGAGACAGACAAAAATCACACATTATTTACAATCATAAACAATATTCTAGATAAACTAGCTTGTTTTCAAGCATGCAAAGTCATTTCTTTAAAAGTATAATTCCTCGAAAAGTTATCAGAAAATGCACATCCTCAGGTAATTTGCACAGCATTGGTCAGACATGAGGAGCAGCCTTGGGGGGATCAGAAGACCGAAAGCTCATGTAGAGAGGGCATCTAGGGGAGCACGTCCCCCTGTACACATAAACCGTATCGCTGCAGAACTGCAATGCTGGTGTTTTAGCACTGATTGTCAGATATTATCATCCCTTCACATACAAGTTAATGGAAACAGGGAGATGTGGTTTCAAAGGGCCAAGTCAGCAATCCCGACTGAAAGAACATGTACGAATTGTACACAATGTGTATTTAAAACACCTCTAAAGACAGGTTTATTCGGATGCAGACCAAATATGCTGCACACCTAACTATACTATGTGTCCCTTCCTTTGGCTTTGGCCAGTTTCTCAGATCTGTGCCCTCACAGAAATATTTCAAGCTTGAATTAATTTAAATTTTGCTTAATTAATTTTGAATTCACTTTAATTTTTGAATACATACAGCATGTTAAATAACGCCAACACAAATTATGCAAGCACCTTAACCTAAATCACAAGGTATACAGGCAGTGTTTGGCAAATATACAGAAGCAAGCTTTCAGCAGTAGTTGAGCAGCAGTTCAATTTATTGTTATAGGCTTTATCATGAGAAATGTAGAAAGCATAGGTGATAACATTTAGACTTACATTACTAGGATATCGACTGTAGTAAGACCTAAAACGCCTCTTTTTTAACATTGCATCTGGAATAATAAATGCTATCTGACAGATATTCCCAACCACAAAGGTAATCTTTTTACCTAAACTAGCTGGCCAAATCTCAACAGAATTTGGGATATATATGATTCATTTGGAAGCTGTATTTCTTTTCTGCTTGCTGATAAAATACTAGTAAACCACAATAACAGGAATTCTGTTCTTTTCCTGGTGTTGAAGGTGTAGTAAGTCTCATGCACAATCCTGGTATTTTTCTCAGGCTGCTCCATTCAAATCGTACAAACTCAAATCTAAAAGACTTGGCTTTGGAGACAACATTGGTTTAATCTACATCTCAGTGTGAGCTCTAGCCGCTCTCTGGGAAGTGTCTGAAAGAATGGTATAATAGCCGATATCAACACTGGGCTATGTGTTTTTTTTTTAATTATTACTGTTATTAAACAATGTGGATATTTGCCCAGTAGGAAGCTAATCAAGCCAAAAACTCACTTCGTTTTGAATGACGGTAAGAAAAATAAAAATATTTTTATTTAAAGCAGTCTTTACAAAGTTGTGTGAAAAACAGCACATGTAGCTTCCTGCTCAGGAAAGGGGAAAATGGAGTGGGAAGAGAGAGAGAGATGCAGACTTTTTTGTTATAGATTATTCTAATCTCTCTCTTAAATAGATTGATGGAAATATCTCCCTAAAATATTGCCAGATAATTGTATGTTTTGATTATTTTCCAGAGGACATTATACTATACTATTTAAATGAGGAAAGAAACAAAAATCATATTTGGGGTTTTTCCCTCACACAGTGCACTATTATTGTATCAGCATCTAGCCACAAAAATTAATGATTCTCATTTAATTCTCACTATATTCTATAACAAGTATGCTATTTCTAAAAGACTAGGTTATGCAATTGAATTAATTGCAATTGAATTGTGTACTGAGAGCATATATGGATGTCTTGTACAAGAATTAAAGATTTCTTTCCATTATTCACCAGACAGTTTAACTCCTATCAAGCAATTCAAATTAGAAGTTAAAGACCGTAACATGTCTACACGCACTATCGCCTACCTCTATCCCTTATAATATTGTGGTAATACAATATTTCAGTGCACAATAAGCAGGCCAATATATTGGCTGAATCTTGAAAAGAAATCATTAAACTAAATCCTTACGAAATGGCAGAATTTGTACTAAAGCTTCCTGTGAATTATACTTAAGCTGAGATTAGACTTACTCACTAGAAAAGTGACAGAAAATACATGAGAAAGATATATTTCAATTAAGAAGATTAAATGCACTCAGTGGTGCCATATAACTGTATCACATTATGTTAACAAGAGCATTTTTTTTCTCTTTAAAATCAAGCTATAGGAATTGAATTTAGCTCTAGTAATGTAATAACTAAAGACAACAACAAATGGAGTCGTTGATGTAATGAAAAAAGGCAAATAAATAAGCAACAAACCACTAATGATAGTTCTTCACTGATTGTATCTGGACAATCAGTAAAAGGCTGACTGGAAAGAACAGAGAAAACAGACTAGAGAGACTTTGCCTTTGACACCATCAATAATTAAAGAAAATAACTAACAGGTCACAATACAACAGTCCTCCTTACAATTCTGTACACAATTTCCGGCAGCAACTATTACACTATAAAACAATTTACCATCCTACAGATACTGGTGTTCAGGACAGAGAGTATTTTAGCAAGAAGTAAGAAGTTACGAAGAGCTAGCTGTAGCCAAACCCGCTAACTGCCCCTAACTACTAACACAACCCTATGCAAGTCATCGAAAAATTGTTGTGGGAATGAGTTTCCTGTTGGTGAGCTCTCAGTGACTACCGCTCAGGACCCTCTGCAAGTCCTCTCAGCTTCTCTTCACAGGTATCTACTGTCTTTGTTGGCCAGGTACAGGGACTGAGGAGAAATCTATGGGTCTAAACAATAGTTGTTTGCTTCCAACATGTTGCTCTCTTTTGGGATCACACCTGAAACTCAGCACGCTACTATGAGTTTTCCCACAAATCTTCCCTTTGTTCTCACTGCTGGGCTTAGAGGCCACAGTTGTCCCTCAGTTCCCTCACAATTCTTCTCGAGCTCTAGGCAAAGTTTTTCAGTAATTCTTAAGAAAGGTAACTGAAACGAAACTGGAAAAGAGACTGGGATATGGAAATACACTCGGTGCGGAATTGCTCAAGATGGAAACAGAGCAAATCCAGCTGAGTGAGGAAAGGCAGCTGAAAAAGGAGGTTCCTTTGGAGGTACTCCCAAAAGGCAGTTTCTAATTGTTCCTGCTCCTTGAGAGATCGTGGAGAGTCTGACATTTCTGCTACGTGACATCTGGCTGACAAGGGTGTCTATCTGCATATGATGGACAAAACAGAGTCCTGCTGTCTCTTCTGTACTTATGAGGTCCCTTCAACTGTTGGTAGCATGGTCACCTGCCCTGAAAATTAGGATAATCAACTCTACAGATTGCCAAAGGTTCTATTTGACTCTAAAATGGCTTTGCTAACGAGGAGATATCTAAGTTTTTGTGTAACTTTCTCTGAATAGCAATAGTTTCTGTGTTTAGGGTCCCCATAATATGTGTGCTAGGAGATCCTGCCTATGGCAGGAGGCATGGACTGCCAGGGCCTGGGGTGGCTGGATCACCCAACCTGGTGATGACAAACACCGTGATGACAAACCTTGACCTGCAGCGGCCAGCGCCCAAAGAGAAAGGCCATCATTCAGTCTCTGACCACATGACATGCAGAAGCAAAGGCAGTACATGACTTGAAAGACCACAACAATTTAAAAACAGCCCCATTACACATTTATACTTAACCACACGTTAGGCAGAAAACGCTCCTTGCAGTGCTAACCTGGGCTTCTCATACAAAGCTATTTAGCACACTGCCTTTCGGCAACCAAAATCCGACATTACAAGCTTGCCTGAGGTCTGAAGTAATCTAGTCAGCAAAGCTGTAACCTGTCGTTTCTTCCTTCAGGATACAGACCACAACAGGGTGATTCACTGCAGACTTTCAGGAAGTTCTATAGATCTTTTTCTTTTTTGAAAGGGATTGTTTTTACAATACTAATACTAGCAGGGGAATACCCATGCAAAACCATGCATTTCACCTCTCAGCCTCTGGCCCTCCTTCTCTTAGGAAAATATACTTTGCTCCTCTTGGTCAGGACTCACCTATGCAAAACAAGGTGACCTATGACTATATAAGGGATTCCGTAAAGGTAATGAATGTCCTAGACTTTGCAAAAAATCTTACACTTTTGTATAAGGAAGACTCTCTCTTGCTCACAAGGTGGAAGATGTGGCATTCGGATACAATCTGTACCTATTACGCTGTGTTCACACTTGACTATCAAGCCAAATTTATGATGCAACATCTGTATCAATGACGGTCTGTAGAACTACCGCTAAAGAACTTGCCCTGTTTGAATAAGGGATTTGGGACTGGGCCTCAGTGACAATAAAGAAACTTCTGTGCTCTGAGCTGACATCAGGTTATTGCTGAGAACAAACCAAGAAAACATTTTCCACAACAATGCAGGGTTGAACATAAGAAGTTCAATTTAAGTGTAGACATCTGTTTCATGACCCTGTGACAAACAAACACTTGGCAGGAAAGTCCTAAAAGCAGAGCATTCAGATAATTAAAATAAAGAACAAAAAAGCAGTAATTTCTACTTAAGCTTTTTAAAGCAGCATTACTCATTTTACAAACCCCAAACCAACAAGTTCTGAAATTATAATCTAGAGGGAAATTCCTTTTCAATTCTCAATATTTTCAAGCCATCATCAAGATATTAAAGGACAATGTGAGTACAGCACATTAAGTTCTGTGGGTTTTTTCTACTGTTTCTCCATATTTTAACATATCTAACTCAAAATTTTACAGCTAGTAGCAATTAATTTACAGAGAATGATTTAACCATTCACAAAAGTTTTTTTTTTTTGAATAAGCTCTGGTTTCTTTCCATATTTTTCTATAAGTACTAGGAACATTTTTTTCAAAATATTTTCTTATTCTACTTAAGATTTTCAAACTTGTTTTCCCCCTTATCTAAACCTGAAATAAATAAGAAATTACCACATGCATCCACATGTTCTTTTTCAAAAACCTTAACACACTTGAAGGAAATACATTCCTCTTAAAATTGCATCATTGTTTTACTATTCATCTCTTTTTATTACACCTTTTTTAATTCATTATAACTGAGGACTAACAGATCCTGAAACATGAATTCAGTTTTAGAAATATTTGTCAACTACAGCAATAAATATTTATAAGGATTTTTTTGTTGTTGTTTTGCTTTATTTGAAAGGAGAAAGACTGACTTAGCCCATGTAAACAAACATACTGATATAACCCCAAGCACGTTCAAAAAATAAAAGAGATGTGTGGACTGAAATTTGCAGACTAAAACCCAACGGGACAGAAGGTCCATGTAAATAGCATTAGATAGTGGGATGGGCTGTTCTTACTTATCATTATATGTTTTTGAACTGCAAACAAACACTTCTGAGCAAGGAATGAGTGACTGAGGGATTACTTAAAAATCGAAGGTAAGAAAGTTGCTCTCGAAACTTTGCCCTCATGAACGTACCAGACATTCATACACCAGAGGAGATATCTGCTGACTCCGGACCTGGGAAGATCCACAAGACTGTGCTCTGCTCCTTGCTCTTCAGTTCATTTTGGTCTCCCTAAGTTTTCATGTAAAATTGACCCAACTGTTCTGCACGGCATCTGCAGTGCAAGACATGATCAGCCAGGTGAGAAAAATGGATGGACAAAAAGGACACTTCAAGCCAGCCAGAAAATATCACCGAGAAGGAAAAAAAGACAAGTCAAAATAGGACTTTTTTTTTTTAATCTCCATATCTAGAAGTCTTAGATAGTGAAATAGTTCTCAGCAAAATAACGGCTCCACCTCCTCTGTTTAAACACACTGCCAGTGCCTTTGACTTTGTGGGATTACATACAGTTAAAGTTAGGCACACATCGAAGTACCTTGCTTAGCATGGGCTACATGGCAGGAACTTCTGCTCTACGTGCTCCATTTAAACAATAAGCAATGCAAGCCATTTATTCTTCATATAAATGTACTAAGCACTTCACACAACGATGAACGAGAGGCATCAATCACACTAGTCAGGTATGTTATGTACACCCCCTCCTCGTGCTACCCTGTGTACGTGTGTAGGTTTAGACATAAATACAAACAGATTCCAAGTTATTTAGCTTTCCCCCTGCTTCTTCCTTTCCAAATGGGTGGTGTGCAAGCTTGAAATTGTAAAAATTAAAGAGAAAAAGAAAGTCACTAAAGCTTAGCACTATTAAGGTGGTTCAAAGGGACAGGTAACACATTACTGCTAGAGCCTGGGATATCTTTTGGATTCTTCTCCTTTTCTATTCATTACTGCAAAATGAGGTTGAACAGGCCTGGCTCACATCTAGCTTTCCCCACCGCTATTAGACATAGTTGTGGCCAGAGCTGAGCTTCCAGAGAAACTTCCAGTGTATTTAAAACCAATCCTCAGTAGGCGCGTATAAGAGAAAAATAGAAGAATTTCCTCAGTACTGGAAAAGGCATAGCTGAAATGGGAAGATATACTTTTAAAACTGATTAATTACAGCACTGCAATTTCTTTTTGTACATCAATTTAGCTGTGTTACAAGCAGCAGCAGAATTATGTGATTTGCTACAGCACTGGGGATGCAAAGACTGCAGTGATCAGCAAATGCAGGAACAAATTGTTACTAAATGAAATTGTATTTTCCTATTCTCAAAGGAAAAAAAAGGGGGAAGAGGAAAAACTCTATAACGTAAGAGTTGGCAGGGCCTCATTATATAATGAAACAGACCTGTCCTCATTCATTTTTACAAAATCTGATTTCCAGCAGAAAGGCACACACATTATGAGAGTTATGTAATTTCTTCCTCTCTGCTCATTTGGTAGTAAGTGGGCATGCTTCTGTTTAAATCACCGCATTTCTTCCCTCTCACTGCAACACAGTTCCTTGCAACGTACATAATACATGAAAGCAAAGCTGATTATTAGTTCAGAAATGTGAATACTGCACATCTTTTGATACCATATGTTTGGCTGCAGTTTTCATTTCAGGAGGCAAAAAAAAAAAAAAAAGAAAAAACCACAATTTGTGCCACACCTATCTAAAACTTAAAAAACCTTCATGCCCTCCAGGGAGTGAAGTGCTCAGCAGCAGTACATGCTCTACCTCCACTCTGCCCAGCTGGTGCAGCCAGCAGTTCCACCACTGCGTATTTTGTCACCTTGGCACACACTTTCACCCTGCTAAGGAAATAAAAGGTCCAGCCCAGTGACCGGGGGACTGAGTCCAGATTAACCTTTTCCTCAGGAATGAAATGCTGAAAGACCAGCTACAATGCAGGAAGGATCAATGCAAGCCTAGGAGACGACTCCTCCGCCTTCCTCACGTCCCTCTACCCCAGCCCAAACGACAAATAGACAAATCTCCCCTGCACAGACCCAAGTGTCTTTGCAGTCCCCCAACCACAACCCTCTCCAACATCCCTATCCAAGAATATGGCAGGGAAGGGGAGGATTCCCAAATTACTTAGTACTCTGGACTCCACAGATTGCAGCTACCATGCTCAAACCTGTTCTTGAGCAAAAGGAGAAAAAAAATCTATTTGCAAAAAG